CAAAAGCACAAACAAAGTGCAAATTCCAAATTCGCCTCGGGACGTCGGTGTGAGAAGGCCGCTGAGACACGCAGTCGGCAAGCTCAAAAAATGACTCCCACGGTTAATACGTCGCAGCATGTCGTGTGACACCGAAGCCCGGCGTAAATAGGAAAGTAGTACTGCAATCGGTGTCTTGAAGTGGTACAATCTCAAGTGAGAAACGTGAACCAATGTGCCGGTCAAACCACGGTGAAGTGACGGGAGGTGTTTAATTTAGACAGACCATTGCCTTGTGAAATAAAAAAGTAATGCTTTGCCGCCATTTTGTGGCATCGATAAGCAATTTCAAACCTCTTGGCTGGTTTGTTGATTATTTGCGGATTTTTCACTTCACTGCATCCTGTTTGAATTTGGTCGTGACCTTTCATGAACAAAAAACTATTTCAGTGGATGACCTTTCCTTGTTTTTGGGTACCACCAAAATTCACAGCCATCCATGAAACAGGAGAACCGAGGCTTTACCAATTCTCCGTTGGCTACTCAAATGATCTTGCGTTTAACTTTCCGTCTTCTTCTGGTTTGTGTCTCATGTTAAGAGCGGCACGCAGTTAATTACGGCGGGCAAAAGAAGGTGAGATTTATACGCGGCGGCGCTGAATAGCAACTCTCAGCACGCTGGCTAATTGCGTGATGGATAGCATGGAGTCATTTGCATTTATATTGCAGCCACCCTCCCCGATTGCGCCACCCACTCCCTTTAGACGGCATTTTTAAGTGACTCCTGACACCGGAGCAACGGTTGCAACGACGAGCCGGGCACAAAACAAGCAAGCGGTGTTTTCACTGGGCCTGGTGGTCCCTGCGGTGTGCACGGCGGGGGGCTGACGTCTGGATCGACTTGACAGATTAGCGCGAGGCTAACACCGCAGGAGTGACGTGCTCGCTGGAGGCTGTTTTGGGAAAAGTCCTCCTTTTTTTTTTTTTTCACACATAAGCTGTTTGAGGTCAAGCTTGTTTGAACCAAGTTTGGTTTAATGTAGAGTGACACGTAGGAGAGCGCAGACCTCCGCCAAGGCCAAATTAGACAAGTAGGAGTAACTGGGATTAGCACGTTTTTTTTACCATTTGCAGTGAAATACGACATGACAGCAAGTTGCAAAGTGGTGGTGGTGGAGGAGGAGGAAAGGCTTTCATAGTGAGCAAAAGCTAACCACCGTGGTTGCAACATCTTCCCGGACTGTATTTCAAAAGTTCTTAAAAAAACAAAAACATGAGTTGACACGGGCTTCCATCTGCAATAGAGCATACCAGCTCTCGATTGTTTACATAACAGACCGACTCAAAACAGGCAGACTTTCAATCTTGAGGCACCAAAAGGCGGCAAGTGCCCCCCGCGGCATCAAGAAGAGGGTGAAATAAGAAGAAACGTCACGGACAGAACAAAAATCTGCACAAGGCAAACCCACTATAAGCATCGCCGATATATATTTGGGTCCGTGCAGCTCTTGTAAACCGTAGCTCAACAAGTAGACTAACCTGCAAATGTTGGACGAAAACACACGCTACTTGATCCCATTAATTCTTCTCAATTCCCCGACATTTCTATTCATCCCCCATGGAACGTTTCTACCTTTTGAAAAATGTGCAAGCCCATCTGGTCGTAAAGCTTTTCTTCAATCCCTATTGGTATTCTTAATGTGCAGTTTCCCAACATTATATGCTGTACGGGTATATATAATACATCCATTATATATTGCATACAGAATACATTTCCGAGTCCCAGTTGGCCAGCATTCCTTACATGTGCTCGCTGCGCCTCTGAAGATGCGCTTCGTGGATCATTTAATGAGCCTGTGCCTGTGTGTGTGAGTGAATTGTATAAAAAAAAAAAAGCTGGCAAAACAGACCATCCATCATTTCTTTTGTCCCCAGTAATCAATTTGGAATCATTGCCTAGATAATGCACTCGTGGCTTCAGGTGGTAGCGGGGGAACTTTTTGAAATGAAAGCGCTCGGTCGCTATCTTCATCTGGACGCTCCCCCGGCATGTCGTTTGTCAAAGCCGGTTGTAAATAACTCCTCTTTGTGAGTGTATCCTCATTAACCTTCCCCGTCACTTGTTTCTCATGCCGCCTCGCTTCTGTGATGACGATAACGCTTCAGAAAAATGGAGCCGCTATCTCTTTTGGACGCGTCCGGCGAAGGCGCTGTCGTCAAATCAAAGCATTTGCTTCTTATCACATGATAGCGGCGTGTGATGCTGAGCGGTGGGATGAAGTCATGAAGGAAGCTCCCAAGTTTTCACGTTCAAGTTAGCGCAGCAAAAAACCTCAAGCAAGTTGAGTCAAGCCATTGCTTGGGTTCAGCGAGTCATAAGTCACGTCGTACTATCGAAATCGGCGACTTAGTCTTCTGTTTCCGCACTTGCGTTATAGTTAACCGTACTGTCACATATTTGATTTTAATCGTTCCAAAAAACGGCCTCTGTATAGTCTAAGAGTTTGTTGTCTTCTCAGTGAAACCAACTGACGCTTATTCTGTATTTCATTACTTAGCTAACATTGTGGAGCTAACCTAGCTTAGCCGTCTTTGTGGGTGGGAAACTATTCAGATGAAGTTCGATGCGGTGGTGGTTGTTTCTTATGTTTCAGTTGCAAAACGCGCACGTTGCCATTTCTCGCAACCCCGATATGTCCAACGACATAATCCTTGAAACCAAATGAAATCATCTTCAGCGCTCCCTCGAGCTTCTTGAGGTAGGGAGGTGGCCTCTGCCATTTAGCATACTTGTGGGTTGCTAGTTTTGCCTGGACTACAAAAATGGTCAGCTTGTCTCGGCGATGAAGCCAAATGGCACACTTCTGCTGTAAGTCTGACTCAAATCATGCTTAGTCATGTGACTTGAGTCTCCCACCCCTGGCGATACTGCACAATTTGATATTGATCCAAAACCAAGCAAGGGCCACTGCTGCTGGTACCAACATCGATACATTTTAATTAGCAAGATGGCTACATCATCAAATTGATTCAACAATGCGAGAGCTGATATCAAGCGGAGTGTATCGGTACATTTTTGAGTTGGACTGAAATCCTAAAAATGTCGGTTTTTAACAATAAATCAAGTGAAATATGTCCAGTATCTTTTGGAAAATATTCGGATCTTGTCTATTGAAAACACGAAGGGATTTTCACAATCCTTCTGTCGTCGTTATATGGCTTCACACAATGCGAGAGCTGATATCAAGCGGAGTGTATCGGTACATTTTTGAGTTGGACTGAAATCCTAAAAATGTCGGTTTTTAACAATAAATGAAGTGAAATATGTCCAGTATCTTTTGGAAAATATTCAGATCTTGTCTATTGAAAACACGAAGGGATTTTTACAATCTTTGTGTCGTCGTCATATGGCTTCACATTCAAAAATGCCACGCTAACACCCATGGCAGAATGTGCGTTGTGAGGAAGCTACACCCACGCTGATGCAAACATAACCTCCTCGGTGGAGGTCAACGCATTTTGGGATGGTACGCTAGTGACTGCTTGGGGAAAAACAAAGCAGGGAACAATGGCCGCTATTGGAGCCGACTTGCCTCCGCTTGGGGGCGAAACATGTGCTTGAAAACCACCATTGTTGCCTTGTGTTGTTGCCTTGTGTTTGTACCTATCGACAGCTGAAAGGACGGCGGTGATTAATGACTCGGGGCCGCCGTGCGAGGACCTCGGCCACACGGGGGTGCGCGGAAACGCCGCCCACTCGCCAGCTGGAAGGGCTCTTCATCTTCTCGGGGGAGACCGGGGTTCACTTGCTAATTTTGTTGTTTTTTTTTTATTTTTTTAAACCGTTCCTTGACGCTATGCTGATGCGAGGGAGAGAGAGGCTTTGTCAAATTTCAAGAATGTACCTTGAAGTCTGTTGTTTTTGCTCCTAGAAGAGTATCGGCCTCCTGTTCGGTCGTGGACTGGCATTTGATGGGAAACAACAGGGAAATTCAAACTGTGAGCTGTCATCAAACCCGTTTAGTGGGATTTATTTGGTAGATTTCCGAGTTGTTCAAAATACAAACCCAGGAGTTCTCCCAAAATAGCCTCTTCAAACCAAAATGTCTGTCTTCCTATTCGGTATTCTGATATGAGACTTCCGTGCTTCCTGTTTAACGGGACCAAACTGGTGTAGGCAAGTGCTGCATGTTTTCAGTGTGCGCTACGGAGTGACTATTAGGGGATACCGTTGGTCCCGCTAAAATATGGAAGAAGCTTTTCAAATTTTATACAGCCCCACATTTGTCTTTAAAGGACCCTCAGAAGGAACCCAAGAACTGGCTTTTTTTTTCTGTTCATGCTTCTTGAGACTTTTTTTGTGGGTCTATGTCCATGTCTAGTCTGTCTTCCTATTCGGTATTCTGATATGAGACTTGCGTGCTTCCTGTTTAACGGGACCAAACTGGTATAGGCAAGTGCTGTATGTTTTAAAACTTTTCAGTGTGCGCTACGGAGTGACTTTTAGGGGATACCGTTAAAATATGGAAGAAGCTTTTCAAATTTGATACAACCCCATAATTCATCTTTAAAGGATTCTCGGAAGGAACATTAGAACTGGCTTTTTTTTTTCTGTCAATGCTTCTTGAGACTTTTTTTGTGGGTCTATCCATGATATGCTTGTCCACCAAATCTCATGTTGTTGAGGGAAACATTTGGTGGGGATCTGTCTTTGTGGCGTCCACTTCTCAAATGTGTTTGAAGGACTCAAATGGTCATTGTGAGCCAAAAATGGCCGCTTTAAAGCAAAATGGCTGACTTCAGCCATCAATTTGAGCTTTCCCTTTTTTTTGAGGTGGCAACAAACTTCCCAAGTTTCACGTTGGTTCAAATGGTCATTGTGAGCCAAAAATGGCCGCTTTAAAGCAAAATGGCTGACTTCAGCCATCAATTTGAGCTTTCCCTTTTGGAACTTTTTTGAGGTGGCAACAAACTTCCCAAGTTTCATGTTGTACTTTTTTTTTTTTTTTGGCTCTTGACAGAATCTCTGAGACCCAACCGTCCTAGTTGACTTGTGTTTGGTGACGGAAAAAAAAAAAAAAACGAGCGGAGAGGCGCCATCGCCATGGAAGTGAAGGAACGCCGACCGTACCGCTCGCTGACCTCGGCCCGGCAGGAGCCCCCCGAGCGGCGCTACACCAGCTCGTCGGCCGACAGCGAGGACGGCAAAGCCCACCCGAGGTCGTACAGCTCCACCGAGACCCTCAAGGCCTTTGACCACGACGCCCGCATGGCGTACGGCAACCGCGTCAAGGAGCTGGTGCACCACGAAGTGGATGAGTTCGGCCGGCAAGGTGGGATTTTCGCTGCTAGCTTAGCATGAGCATAAATCAAATTTGAGCTCAGATTTAGAGTCGATTCGTGATCTGAAACCAAGAGTCGTGCTCATGGATTATAGGGAACCTTTTTTTATTCATTCCAAATGGAATGTGAGTTTTTAAGAGTGTTCTGAACACCAAGTTCCATGCCAGCGTTTTATTTAGGACAAGTGGCGATGAATTCCACTCAAGCCACAACATTTTTATCTTGCTCAGGAGCTCCCCTGTGGAATCTCGGATAATTTTTCAACCCTGCAGACAGCTTTACCACACTCGGGTTGTTAAAAATGGAGGAGGACATGTTCTCGAGAGGCTTTGATTAGTCGCCTAGCAACAAGCTAAATGCTACATATGCAGTCATAAGATCACAAACGTGCATGATTAAAAGAGAAGTGTCCCTCCAGTCTGCCTCAAGGTCAGACCGAAGCCGCCAACGGCGACTACATTATGCTAAACGAAGCAACCCGGTGTCATATTTAATCAGGCGCGCCTTTTCCTGCCTGGCCGCAGGTCCCGACTTCTCTCTGCGAGACCTCGGCTTCGGGGACGCCCTCCCGTCCGCCCACCATGGGGCGGCCTACCGAGGCGAGCTGGGCCTGGCGCACCGCGAATACTCTGTCAGCGTGGGCTCGGACGCCGACACGGAGACGGACGGCGTGGCGAACTGGCTGCACGCCGTTCGGCTGTGGGGCCGCAGCGGCGGCGGCGGCAACCCCAAGTCGGGCCGAAGCTCGTGCCTCTCCAGCAGGGCCAACTCCAATCTGACGCTGACCGACACGGAACATGAAAACACGGAAAACGGTAAGTGGAATCTTTTTGCCGAACGTCCAGTGCTTGTGTCCACCCGTTTCGTCCTTTTCACCTCGATGTCACCACAACTCTCAGGTGGCAAAAGCTCAAGTGCAGTCGTGAACAAACCCTCGCTTGTCATTTGAACAAGGTAGAGAAACGGCGAAAGCAGCAGAAACGGCTTGAAGGATGATTTTAACCTTCCTCTCTACCGCCACGCTTTGAATGTGTAAAGTGTCAGTCGAAAGATGTTCCATCAGCTAAATGGCTTCCGCCGGCCGTAATTTACATTTCAGCGGCTAAGTTGATTCAGAAATTGACGTGGTGGAAACTCCGATGCAGCGAACATGAGGATCATTGAGGGGCTGGCCAATTAGTTGATTTATTTATTTTTTTTGTGTTGCTCAGATTGATGGCACGGGCGTGAAATGGCGAGCGCGTTGCAGCGCTGACATTTGCTCGCAGGAAAAGTTGTTCTTTTTCAGGTCAGTGCTGGCCAATCCCGTTCTGCCACGGCTGTACCCTTGAGCCGATTGGTCACAAAAACATTTTGAAACGGTATATGGGACCAGTGATTCCCAATCTTTTTTTTTTTTTTTTTTGCGTGGGAACAAATCAAAACAAAAGATGTGACATAAAACTCAGCATTACGCTGAGTGTGGCTGTTGTAATTCGTAAGAGGCGGAGCCATCGTCAACGAGCCGGTGCCATTGGAGAAAATCCCGCTTCACAAAGGTATTGCCAGTTCCGCAAAGATGCCAGATATGGAAGCGAGGTATTGAGTGCTCTTTTTTTTGCACTTGGCTTTTTTGTGAGTCTGTCACTTTTTCCTTATTGATTGGCTGGGAGCAATCATTTTGTTCTGCTGTCTTGCACTCAGCTCGGCTTCCATTTCAAGTCACCGAACGCGTTTCCTCGCACTCCAAGGTCTTGAATCTCAGCATGAGTCAGCGTCACGTTTACCGACAAAAATGCTTCTTTTCATATAAGCTTGCGATGAGTCCCATGTGTTCGTTTTTGTACGCCCCTAACCCCTGAATATGATCTGGCGGATTTGCAGCGGCCTTCCCCGGACACTTCGGCGGCGGAGAACTAAAGCTCATGCGGCGCCCGGCGGCGAGATTCTAATTACCCCGACGCAGCCTTGCGGAGAACCTCGCAAATAGTTTTACATTTATATCTGCTGATGTTTTTTCTAAGTGACAGAAATGTCCGCAGGAGGGAGAATCCATTTGAGTGGCTGACTCGGGTCAGGGGAGAGTGTGCGGGCCTCCACATTGTGCCTCCGTTGTACATAATTAAAGAAAAGCTCCTGGCACGACGGCGTTCGGGCTTGCAGCATATCATGCATGTGGCGTCGCCGAGACCCCCATCGTGATGCTAAACAGCCTTTTTATTCCACTGGCTCGGGCAGAAAGAGCATTTGCGTTCGGGAGGAAGGGGGGGGCATTTAATTCAGCTAAGCCTGATAACATACAATTACAATTTCTATATGGCAAGTTAATTAAAATCCATCAAGTAGGGCCTTCTTCTTGTGTGTGCGCGCCAATGTCTCTAAACCAACAAACCATTTACGCGGCTGTTTAATGTATTCCAGCCGGCGGGCATCCACCCTCCCCCGCCAACTGCCCCTCATCCCCAATCCCCCTTTTCACATGTGACTGCCTTGACCCTCCGCCTAATGCATGTAAATAAGCAAGCGCCGCTCGCAAGCATCTTCCCGATGCCGCCCCCTCGTACTGTAGACGACACTGAGACTACAGAAGAGATTTGATCGAGCTATCGTTTAGCCGTCTGTTTGGCTAACTTTCCATCCATCCATCCATCGATCAAGCTACTGAGCTACCCACCCACCAACTAGCCTCAAGGAAAAAAAAACACAGAGATCCAAAGAAAAGCAAATTGACTTGCAAATGTAACGTATCTGGAAAAAGAAGGCAATTCTTTGTGCGTGTCAGGCTTTATTTCCGTGTGTGTGTGTGTGTGTGTGTGTGTGTGTTTCCCATCATGCCTCTTTTCCCAAGAGAGCCCCTGCGAGGACACTTGGAGCAGCTAGCGCCTGCTGAGTCACAGCAAGGCCCCGCGGAGGCAGAACATCAAGGCGGGCGTCTTACTGTAACTTAAAAGAGCCGCCGCTGGCTTTGTTAGCCGTGACCCACATGCATGCGGTACTTGCAGCCTTGGCCCGTTGCTAAGAAGTTACGTTTTGCCCCTTTTCCATCACATGGTACCTACCTGCCAGCCAACTGTCGTCATAATTTTGTCATCGCTGCGCTAGGCCACATGTCTTGGAAAAAGCTTATCCTGTTGCTGCTGTAGTTTACTCCGCAATCTTCGCTAGGCTGTGACGCTGTGTTGATTGTTCGTTTTTTTGGCTAGCCAGTTGGTGATACTTAGTCCGTCCATCAGTTCGTTAACATTTAGCAATTAGTTCATTTATCACATTGTTAGTTAATCACTGTGTCAACTGAGGTCTCCGTTCGCCAGGCAGTCACCTCGTTAGTTGGTTAACTTGTTAGGTAGTGCACGGGGGAGTCAAGTCACAAATTTGAATCCAAACACGGTATTCCGGTGTTGTTTGGTTGGGGGGGGGGTGGGGGGGGGTACGTTTTCGTCCATTTGAAATGGCGGCCATTTTGCCTCGTACTGCCACTTACTGTCAACTGAAAATGACATCACAGTGCCCAAGGGCTCAGCTTGTCTATGTCACGGCTCACCCGCTGTCGAGGTTTGCTCATGTGCGGTACCGTGTTTAGACTCGTGAGGGTGACTGAAACGTATTGTAAAGAACATTTTTAATCACATAGTAACCAGTTAGTAAGAAGAAGCCATCAAAGTCTGCCGAAGAGCGTAAATGTGAAGACTTGAAAAAGTTTTTTTCACTCTTACACTCAGTTTGCATCGGGACAAGTTACCCACCAGGTCCAGCAAAGGGAACTGTGGTTCTCCAATCTGTCCTCGTGTCACTGTTTGCACCCCATTTGAAAATTGCGTCGCTGCCACCTTCAGGACTGGAGTCAAGCATGTTTGCATTTCTCAATCAAATGAGTCACGGTTGTTTTAGCCTCGTTGGAGGTCAATACTGAGTGCAAAGTGAGCGTCAACTATTAAGCTACGTGCTTTTCATGTCGACGTACGAGGTTCATTGCGCTCTTGACAACGGCAATTGTTCGTGAGAGTGGAGTCTTGCGGGAAATCATCATCATGCCTTTAGGCGTCGTTCCAGGCCAACCCCCCCTAGAAAAGCAACACTTGGAAGTTCTGCGTTTACGTGGTTCCATAGCCTCTCGGCTATGCATTTATCTCTGTCAACACACATTTCTGCACACAAATTACTAAGCAAGTTAAGTTCTTGGCAAATGCCTCTTTGATCCAAATAATGTCTTGGCTCACCATTTTCTGACTCCGTAGAGCCAATAATGAGTCAAAGCCAAAAGCTAAACCGAGTCACAGTGTGGTCGGATGCCGATTAGCGCCCTGAACATATGAATATGCTGTAAAGTGAAATGCTAGCAGTTGCTAGCCAACTCATCGCCAATCTAACGCAAAACAATACCTCTGTAGAAACACCCCACAGTGGGGAAGGCGAAGCGTCGGTCTGTTGGTCGTAAGAAGTTCTTGTTCGTTTTAGCCAGACATATCATTCAGTTATTTGGCTAGTAAATCATTTAATTAGTTTGATAATAAGTCGCTTGGGAGTTCTTTAGCTAGCCAGAGAGTGAGTTTGATGCTTAGTTAGTCAATTGTTGGCTAGTCAATCGGCTAGCTAGCCCGTTAGCTGGCTAGTGACCTCCCACTGAACGTTCGGCAAGCCCCTTCACTGCCCGTCTTAAAAATTGGTCTTCAAACTCATTTTTATTTTTTGGCTTTAGACTCAGCATGAGACTTTTTTTTTTTTTGTTGGACTGTTTTTGTGCTTTCTTCGGTCTTTGTCATTAATTTATTGTTTGATTGTTGTATGAATAATTTTTACTCCATGTACAGCACTTTGTATCCAGCGGTGGTTGTTTTAAAGTGCTCCAGAAATACCCTTGAGTTGAGTAGCTTGTGGTTTAGATTGTTGGTTAGTTTGCCTGTTTATCAGTTAGTCTGTTAGTCATTTGTTTCGTCAATTCGTCAGTCATTGACTTAGCTGATGAGTTTGTTGGTTGATGAGGTTTTTTTTTGCTCCCTCTGCTGTTCTGACGTTTCATCTGCTTTTAATGCCGCAGCAAATGTGAATTTGTTAACAGATGAAGACATCAAAGAATGTTCGCGTTAACTCTGCTTGCAGAACTTGCCTTGAAATAAACATGTGCCATCATTTATTTATTCGAATAACTTGCCTAAAAATAAACCCGTCTGATCACGTCAGCGTTTTGTAGAAGCACCGCACGGCGCTCGGAGCCGACACATCACGAGAGGCTTTTGTCCTGGCTGGTCCGCTAGCATGAGAAAAGGCTCAAGTAAAGTCGGTAATCTGGGGTCGCCGTGGCAACAACAGCGACACTGTTGTCCTACTTATTGCAAGCCGTTGAAGCATCAATCTGATTCGCTTTCAAAATCCAATTAGCACATGATGCGGCCTTAATTGATACATTATTGGGTATGATGGGTTTCATTTGTTTGATTAAATAGTTTTTCTTTTTCACCATTAAGAGCAAAAGCACGACATTATCATTACCGCTATTGGGGGGGGGGAAAAAAGCGCCCATCCTGTTTCAAGCTAACTTTGTTGTGACAACAACTTCAATATGTGTTACTGGGCAACATTTTGGATGGAATGGAAATAAAAAAATAAGGAAATCAATGAGAGGCGGGGTGGCGCAAACATGAAAGCAGCTGAAAAGCGATTAAACACTAATTACATTTGTCATCAGTCACGCAAAACAGGCCAACTCAGGGAGAGCTTGTTGAAACTACTGCCTCATTAGGCATCGAAAACGAGTGTCCGTAATTAATCCAAAATCTTTATCCCTCGACCAAGAATGGGACATACTATGAAAAATGCTCATAATTAGTTGTATACAAAT